AAAAAAAAAAAAAAAAAAAAAAAGTACCCTAGGAAAGTTGGAGATTTGGCTGGTGCTAATGTCAGGCAGGGTACTAGCGTACTAGGTGGCTCACATGCAGGCCTGGATTCATGGGCACTGCCCTGTGCAACTGCACAGGACTCACGCTTACATGGGCCTCACACTTATTTTATGCTCTGCTGACACTATCTAGAAATTCTTAATCACTTTGAACAAAGAGCCCTGCATTTTCATTTTCCTCTGAGCCCTGCAAATTAATATATAACCAGTCCTGCTAATATGCAGGTTTCTCATTTATTCCACCCAACCACCCGAGGAACTAGAATTCCTTATTATTATCAGCCTCACGTTACAGATGAGGAAAATGAGGCTCCGAGAAGTGAAATACGCATACAAGCTCACGTGGCAAGAGAGGCAGGGTGGCACTCAGGCTTCTCAAATCCCTGAGCCCTAGAGCCAGTTCACTGCAGTGAAACCTGTGTGAACCCCTGAGTGAAACCTGGAGTGTGGTTTATCAGTTTTCGTCACATACTTGTGGTACATTGTGACTGAGAAAAAGGAGATTATGCTGATAGCCTGGCAAGTTGGCAAGACATTTCCTGGGCATATTAAGGAAAATGCACTAGCAGCTCTAACCCAGAGTATATTTAAACAACTACAGGAGCAGGCAGGGGGAAGGGAAAGGCCTGACCTGAGAAGTCAGGCCCAAAGCAGCCCAAATCCACTATTTATAGTGCCATGGCCTATTTTGGCCTGCTGGGTGGCCCTGAAAATTGCCCTGAGAACTGGGCCTGGAAATGGACCATGGAAACCAGGCGCCTTCATTCTGGGGTATGGCTGGAATCATGCTGGGCACAGACAAAAGTTTTCTTGATGAGCTCAAGGATGTTTTTTTTTTTTTAAAAAAAAAAAAAAAGCAAAACAGGATTTTCTTTGACAGGGAATTAAAAAAAAATACTCATTTAAGGAACATCATCAGGAAATGATCAGGAATATATTCTCAAGGAGCAAATGCATGGATCAGACCCAGTCAATACAGAGCTAATACTTATGAGCCCTTAACCATGTGCCAAGCACTGTGCTACCTGCACCATTTCATTTATGCCCTCACATATGACCCTATGACAGCAGCAATATTATTATCCCCATCTTACAAGAAAGGAAACTGAGGCTTAGGAAAATTAAGTAATTTACTGAAGGTCGCATTGTTGGCAAGCCAGGATTAAAACCCAGATCATGGCACCCTACTAGGCTGTCACCCATAGGCTGCTTCTCAAACTTCAGCATACAAAGACTCTCCTGGGAACCATGTAAAGATGCAGATTTTGATTCAGGAGGTCTGGGTGGGGCCTGAGATTCTGCATGCCAACCAGATGCCAGTTGATGATGATAATAGCACTGGTTCTTGGACCATAATTTGAGTAGCAAGGATGCAAACAAATATTGCAAGTTTTCCTGCTTCTACTTTTATCCTCTTACAATCTGTTCTCTTTGCAGCAGCCTGAGTTATTGTATTGGTCTCCACTGCTGCATAACAAACATCCCCCAGGTGCGGCAGCTTTCAGAAACAACACAATTTCTGAGGATTAGAAACATAGGAACAGCTCAGCTGGGGGATTCTGGCTTAGGGTCAAGGCTGCTGTTAGGATGTCAGCTGGGCCTGCCATCATCTGAAGGCTCGACTGGGCTGGAGGATCCTCTTCCACAATGGCTCTCTCCAATGGCTGTTGGCTGGAGGCCTCAGTTTCTTGTCATGTAAGTTTCTCCATAGGGATGCTCAAGACCAGCTGGCATCCTCCAGAGGGAATGATCCCAGAGAGAAAGAACCAGTGAGCACAAGACTGCTGTGTCTTTAATAATCTCATCTTGGACGTGGCACACCATTATTTCTGCCATATTCTACTGGCCACACATATTAACCCTGATACAATGTGGGAAGAGACTCCCCAGGAATGGGAATCCCAGGGGGTGGGGGTTATTGGGGAGTCACTGTGCATACAGACTACAGTTTCCTGATGAAAACTCAGATCATGTCATGCTTCTGCCCATCATTTCTTATCAAAGTCAAAATAAAATCCAAAGTTCCAGCATCCAAATGAAAGCTCACCTTTAATTCTACAAGATCTGTCCCCTGACTGCTTCCTCATCTCCTCTCCCACTCTCCTCTAGCTCACTGTTTTTGTTGTTGTTGTTGTTGTTGTTTTGTTTTGTTTTGGTGGCGGGTGGATTTGAGACAGGGTCTTGCTCTGTTGCCCAGACTGGAATGCAGTGGCGTGATCTCAGCTCACTGCAACTTCTGCCTCCTGGGCTCAAGCCATCCTCCCACCTCGGGTTCCCAAGTAGCTAGGACTACAGATGCGTGCCACCACACTCAGCTATTTTTTTGTATTTTTTGTAGTGACTTCATTTCACCATGTAGCCCAGGCTAGTCTCAAACTCCTGGACTCATGTGATCTGCCCGCCTCAGTCTCCCAAAGTGCTGAAATTACAGGTGTGAGCCACTGAGCCTAGCCTCACTTTTATTTTCTAATATATATATAATGTATTTTTTAGAGAGAGAGTCTTGCTCTGTCACCCAGGCTGGAGTGTAGTGGTGCAATTATAGCTCACTGTAGCCTCAACCTCCTGGTTTCAAGCCATCCCCTCACTTTAGCCTCCATTAGCCTCCACCACCATGCCCAGCTCCAGTTGACTTTCACACTGACTCTCTTGCTGGTCCTCAATATACCCAGCACCCTCCTGCTCCTGCAGGCCTTTGCATGTGCTTTTCCTTCTGCCTAGAATGAACTTCATTCAGGTCTCAGATCAAATAACACTTTCTCAGAGAGGCCTTCCTTGACCAAATTCAATACCATCTGAAATAGTATCCGAGATGTCTTTTCAGGCTTCTGCATTTCTGACTATCGGACGGCCTCACCCAGACCTGTGCTGTGACTCAACCAGTCCTGTGGCTCCCCACCCAGAAGTGGACTCAGCCCATGAGGACTGCTTTCCATACCCCTATGATTTCATCCCCAACCAATCAGCAGCACTCATTCCCTAGCCCCCAACCCCACCAAACTATCTTTGAAAAACCTCTAGCCTCTGAGCCTTTGGGGATATTGATTTGAGTAATAACTCTGTCTCCCATGTGGCATGGCTGGCCTCGTGTCAATTAAACTCTTTCTTTACTGCAACGCCTGGTCTGTATGAATTGCTTTTGCTTGTGCAGCACACAGGAAGAACCCATGGGTGGTTTTAAGATGTAAATGTATATTGTGAGCTGCTGAGTTTTGGAGTTTGGGGGTGATTTGTTATGCAGCATTATTGTGACAATAGCTAACTGACACACTCTTTGATGTTATGTTCCTGTATATTTGTTTGTATCTGTTAATAGTCTCCTGAAAGAATGCAAGCTCCATGAGAGCAGGAACTTTGTCTCCTTCCCTGCAGTATACCTAGCGTCCAGAACAATGCCTGCCTGCCACATTGTAGACACTCAATAATTACTAGTGAGTGAATATTAGTGAATGAATCGATCTCATTGTAGCTCCTGCTTGCTTAACTATGATGCTATATTGCCTTCAAATCAGACCCCAAATTGCAAAGTATCAAAAAATAATTGTCTTGCACAGGAGTTCTAGGCAGCATACTATTCACCAGAAAAATGTGACTCATACACTAAGCTGTTGGCCATTGTCTCTGTGCCAGACACCATCTCTCTTCACCTGGGCCATATCTGAAGTCAGCCAGAAACTACAACCAGCCTGAGAACGGAAGTGCTGCTTTAAATGACACTGGCTCACCTGGTTGGCTGGCTGTCCCCAGAGGAAAGCCAGAGACAGGGCTAATGAGCTCACACAAAGGGAGGAAATGCACTCCCACCCCCCTTCCTGGAACAGCTGCAGCAGGAGACGCCCCTCTCTGGAAAGGAGGAAGAGGAAGCTGGGGAAAGCAGACCAACAATGTGGGGAAGCCACGCACTCAAGAGAAAGCAGAAGGAAAAAAGAATCTGGCGCTTAAACAACTGATTGTTGGAACTTTTATGACAAAATATAATAAAAATCAAGACCAACTCCTAAAGGTTTCTTTGGTCCTGCCATCTCAGGGCTCACCCTGGGTTGAAAGTACTGTGAATGAGAAATGTCTGGCTAAATGCCAGCCCATCAGCCACACTGGTAGTGGGTTTTTCTTTAAATACAAATACTGGCCAGGTGCAGTGGCTCACACCTGTAATCTCAACACTTTGGGAGGCGGAGTGGGGAGGATCACTTGAGCTCAGGAGTTTGAGACCAGGCAACATGGCAAGACCCGTCTCTAAAAAAACACAAAAATTAGCTGGTGTAGTAGCTCACAGCTGTGGTCTGAGCTGTGAGGCTACTGGGAGGCTGAACTGGGATGACTGCTTGAGCCCGGGAGGTGGAGGCTGCAGTAGGGTGAGATCACACCACTGCACTCCAGCCTGGGTGACAATAAGACCCTGTCTCAAAAAATAACAACAACAACAAAAAAACCACACACACACACACAACAAACCTCTTACATCTGTTTAGGAAATAGAACCTCAAGTACTTTTTTTTTTTTTTTTTTGAGATGAAGTCTCCCTCTGTCACCCAGGTTGAGTGCAGTGGCGCGATCTCGGCTCACTGCAACCTCTGCCTCCCACGTTCAAGTGATTCTCCTGCCTCAGCCTCCCAAGTACAGGCATCCGCTACCATGCGCAGCTAATATTTTTTTTTGTATTTTTAGTAGAGACAGGGTTTCACCATATTGGCCAAGCTGGTCTGGAACTCCTGATCTCGTGATCCACCTGCCTCGGCTTCCCTAAATGCTGGGATTACAGGTGTGAGCCACTGCACCCGGCAAAGAACCTCTAGTACCTTTCAAATAGGAAAGTCACTGATATAATCATCTCCATACTGATACCATTCATTTCTGCATCCACAGTTTGCAGAACACTATCTCCTGTGTTGTTAAATTTAGAGACTGGGCACAGTGGCCCACATTTGTCATCCCAGCACTTTGGGGGGCCAAGGTGAGAGAATCACTTAAGGCCAGGAATTCGAGGCCAGCTTGGGCAACATAGTGAGACCCCCATCTCTACAAAAAAATTAGCTGGCCGAGCGCAGTGGCTCACACCTGTAATCCCAGCACTTTGGGAGGCCGAGGCGGGCAGATCACGAGGTCAGGAGATCAAGACCATTCTGGTGAACACGGTGAAACCCCGTTTCTACTAAAAATACAAAAAAAATTAGCCGGGCGTGGTGGCGGGCGCCTGTAGTCCCAGCTGCTCGGGAGGCTGAAGCAGGAGAATGGCATGAGCCTGGGAGGCGGAGGTTGCAGTGAGCCGAGATTGC